GTGGTAGGACCTTGTGAGTCCGCACGGGTAGGTACCACCACCCTGCCTATTTCTGCCGTGAAGCAGTAATGCGTTTCGATTTGAAGAGTGGGGCAGCCGTGGCAACTATACTGAGACCTTAAAACTTATATCTCAAGGTGTGTGGCGCATTTACGTTGCAGATGCAATGGGTTCCAGTAACCACTTAACATCAGGTGGACTGTGACCTCGTCCACCCATCTAAGCAATAGAACATATGAAAAAAATCATTTCGTTTTGTAAATGACCGTTTCATAATATAGTTTAGACTTGAATCTCATGTCCGAAGCTTAAGAAATTCACGTAGCGATGTGATTAATATTTGTAATTATTAACTTAATAGTGATCATAATGGAATCACATTCAAATATATGGTACGTATCGAATATATACAAGGAGTTTACGGTTACAAGCAATCTGATAAAAGAGTTCAAATGGGACACGGTAAGATCATGTGCTTCTAAGATGAGATGATCGTATTGTGAAATAGTATCTGGTTCGAAGTTTACGCAGTGGTAGCGTTGCCTATTTCTGCCGTGAATCAGTAACGCGTTTCGATTTGAATGTTTGGACAACGGTTGAACTGTAAAAACTATGACTTAGAATTCATGTCTCAAAATAGCCCCGGATACCGCATATGGTAATAATAAACAAGTGGGCCGTGAGTTCATTTACCCATCTAAACAATAAATAGAGGAAAAAAGGATTAAGTGAGTTGGTATGGAGGATGGTTGTCAGAAGTGAAAGTTATCAGGAATACCGACGCTTAATGCAGTAGTATCCGGATCTTCTCAGTGGGTCGCGTTTCCGATCCGGTAGTAGATTCTGCGAAGCACTGCTCTTGCTAAGGCAGGCGTTAGCAACACTCTCGATTTGAGCCTCGTGAGCTCACCTACGCGTCAAGAAGAAGCTGAAATAGCCTCTCAAGGATATCAGCATAGGTTGGAAAAAAGCAGTAGTAACACGAGGTCCGAGAAGTGATTGTAACATACGCTTTCAANCGTGAGCTCACCTACGCGTCAAGAAGAAGCTGAAATAGCCTCTCAAGGATATCAGCATAGGTTGGAAAAAAGCAGTAGTAACACGAGGTCCGAGAAGTGATTGTAACATACGCTTTCAAAAAATTCAAAACAAAAAAAGCGACTGTAACATGTAACACGCGAATAACTGTTATGCACGAAGCGAAAGTACAAACATTAAGCGTTACATTAAATTATTTCTATTACATAACGTAAAACCCAAATATCTCTTTAATTGAATGAAAGTGTGGCGGTAGCCATCATACAACGCAAGATAATTGACAGATGCCTGCATCTCGCTTACGACATTTTCAAGATAAGCTTGCATATATACCACATATAGGTATACAAGTTCCGTCGTCGAACCCGTCGCTTGCGACGAAGGGCTCGACGAGCAAACTAACCCATAGACACAGCCCACAGAGTTTCTCGCCGGACCTTCTCAGTGGGTCGCGTTTCCGATCCGGTGGTAGATTCTGCGAAGCACTGCTCTTGCTAGGGTCAGTGTTAGCAACTCTCCAGTTGAGCCCCGCGAGCTCACCTACAAACGTTAGGGCGAAGCTGAAATAGCCTCTCAAGGCTATCAGCATAGGTAGGAAAAAAAAAATCGGACCGTCGGTCTACCGAGCAAATATCACCCTCCGGTGGAAGATCTTCCCTCCGTCATTAAGCATCCAAAAAAGAGTTAAAAATTTTGCTCGTACATTAATATTAGGCGCAACAAATTTTTTTCTACTACTTATAATGTTATGTTGTTGTACTTATTATAATAGATACAGAGCATTTTCATGCTCGTGTCATTAACCATTGTAAAAAGTATCCTTTAATCCAAATTAAAAAGTTTTTACGAACTTTCACCCCAAAAGCGTCTAGCCGTTCTTACGTGAGGATGGAACATGGAAACATACAAACTTTAACTTTTTACTTATTTCTTTATTACTAATGTAAACAGACGCGCATACGGCAGACACGTTAGTGAGTGGTTACCGTCGACATGGACATCAGCACGGCTAGGCGGCTTGGAGTACAGACAAGCCGCTGACTATCAGAGAGTACTCTTTGCAAACCTCTTCTGAAGAAAAACATGTTGTAGTACAAAATCATTTCCACATGACATCTCTATTACGCTTAAAATTGACGGTTCTCATGACGTCACCTACCACGAATTGTTTTTTTTATGATTGAAGGATTACTGGTGGCCCGGAGGCCTTTCCAGTTTCACCAGGATAGCTGGGCAAGCAGAGGCTCAGCCAAGAGAGGATGAGATTTGCTAACAGCTGCCCGTGCGCCTCCGAAGGAAACTCAAGAGCAGCTGCTTCGCGAATGAATCTACTACCGGATCGCATCTACCGAATCTACGATCTGATTAGAACGGTGATGTATGCATAGTAGGAGTCATTGATTGAGCTTCTTCTTCTTCTTATCTCTCTATCACACTAGGTGGGGTCGGCACAACGAATTTTTCTATTCAATTCTCTTCTATCGGCCGTCATCTCAACACTCACTCCTCTCTCTCATGTATCATCATTCACACACTCCATCTATATCTTCTTCGGTCGACCTCTTCCCCCTATACCTTGCACTACCATATCCATACAACTCCTAGTCACATGCATCACCTCTCTACGCACACATGTCCATACCACGATAATGGAGCTATAACAAGAATGAGCTATATCATGACATCAAAAAATGGTATAGGTCCGCTACAAACCTTGACAACAGGGGTAAAGATCCAAAATGTAGTAGACAGTAGACACAGCAGACAACTGTGTGCTTAATGCGAGTTTTTGAACGTTCTCGAAAGGGTAAAAGTTAACTCAAACGGAAGCAAATGTAGGCAAACATTGCAACTCCATACAAATTTGAGTTAACTTTTACGCTATCGAGAACGTTAAAAAATTCGCACTAAGCACACAGATGACAGTCGAGTCGTATGTACGGTTACTGTCGATCAGATATCTTCGATACCAAGGCCATGGCCAAGTCACCACATGTTGAATACACTTTTCTAAGCGAGACAAGGTTGACATGGGGTCTAATACCCGTATTTTTAGACGTTTCGTAAAATAGTCCTCCACTCTTAACTCATCCGATGATGCTCGAGAATTCTCTCCAAACTTACTCGAGTTTGGTATTTTTAGTCGACCATTACAATATTCCTCAACTGTCCTCGAGTGAGGTAATAATGATGAAAATTTGATCAAGCTAGCATCAAACCCATAGAGTTCTGTAGTCTATGGTCATTGTTTAATGTCAAAGTCAAGCTGCCGCTGTCTGTTTGACACTAGATGAACTTGTTTGATGTTTTGGTTGCTGAGTTATTCGTAAATATGTGTGCGTGCGGTAAATCTGAAAGTGTATTATTTATTTTCTAACCTATTATTATTTTAGATTTCGGATCCGGCTTTGTATTTTTATTCGCCGCTTTTGTGTGATTTTGGTTGCATCGTGTTGTTGAAGTGCTTTTCCACAACCACCAGTTTATTATTATATAAATAAAACTTATAATCGCATTGACTTTATTTATCAGGTAGTAAGCAAAATATGTCTCTTATGTAGGTAAATAAAATAAAGAGTTTCAAATGTCTAACCTCGAACTATTTACTTTATTAATAAATATTATCAAACTTAAATTATTAAAATACGCGGGAATCATGCACAGATCCAGGCCATTGCACAACAATATCATATATTTCCATTTGCGGTCCACATATTATTTGGACATTGATAGAAAACCAGCCTTGAGGAACGTTCAAGGTACGTCGCGACGTACCTTGACTTGACAGTTCGCTTACTTCACTCCGGTTAGGAAATTTTTCCAAGGACGTTTGAGTGGAGTTTATTTTTACGACTAAGCATACCAAAACGCGCGTTGGAGGTTGAGTCGAGTCGAGTTAAGCTTGTGTAAACGACTAAAGATACGGGTGTAAGTCTTAATTTTATAGTATTGTTCGAAAAAGTGAATGTCAGAGCGCCGGGAATGATCGTGTTCCATTCTAGAGTCAGATGATGCGTGTCTCATTCATCCACTAAACAGAGAGAAGCAGAATAATAATACCAAATACTTGTTCGGTTTCATACGCTTTAACACCAGCGATGGCGAATATTTATTACATTACTTTTTTCTACAGGCACTCTATTCGTTCACCGTGGCTTACCTTGACGACATATACATATTAGATGCTTCATTAATTTACTACCTAGTCATATCACTCGATGCGAATACGCTGAACATTTTATCCATGTGCCATGTGGCCATATGTGGCGGATTCCTCGAGGTTTTTTTTCGACCTGGTATCAAACAATTAAAAGGGTCAGTTTTCGAAAGACAGAACATCAGTCCACTCATAGTCCAAATATTGTATTATGAATATTGAGTTAAAGTATTGAAGTAGTTCGGCGGATATTTTCAGATATTATCAATTAGTTTTTTATATAAATAAACTCCACAAACACGATTTTTTAAGACGTTCTGCAATATTGAATAAGTTATGTAGAACATAATCTAAATATACTTAAAGTTTTCAGTCACTTTATTTTTAATTTACAATATGTTTTTTAAAATATATATTTTTACTTAAATGATGTAAATGCATAAAATTAATGTACAATATAGTTACAATAAGTCGCTGGGTGTCCTTTTTAAATTGTAAAAAAACTCGACTCGAGCCATACGAGTATAAATAAAGTCAAACGGCGAAATCATCTCCCTTCCTTCTGCTGAGACCCACAGACACAGCCCACTGAGTTTCTCGCCGGATCTTCTCAGTGGGTCGCGTTTCCGATCCGGTGGTAGATTCTGCGAAGCACTGCTCTTGCTAGGGCCAGTGTTAGCATCACTCTGGTTTGAGCCCCGAGATCTCACCTACATGCTAGGGCGAAGCTGAAATAGCCTCTCAGGGCTATCAGCATAGATAGGAAATAAAACTGCTAAGACATTCGTGAATAAAACTCTTCGAGTACATGCGATATAACTTTAATCTGCCTGTCTTATTACGACCTACGATTTGTTTATAACTAGCATTTTAATCATCGCAGACTCGACTTTTAAATAACGCCTGCTGTTTACAACAAGACAAATCTAAAACACCTCGCAACTACATACATCCGTCTATTTATTAACGGAAAAAACAGTTAATTACCATTTTCTCCTTTACATGACGATTATTGTCTTTTTCATTAGTTACTTTTTCATTAGTAGCATAGATATTCTTTAAAATTCAAATAAATACAGGTTTTTGGAAATAGCAATTTCATTTTCTCCAAAAAAGACGGTTAAATACCATTTTGTACTCTGTTGGTGAATGCTTTTTTTTTTTGTTTAAATAATAATTGTTTTTTTTTTTTTTATAAATAGTCGAGGACAAACAGTTTGAAAACGTAACACGTTAACTAAATGTGAACATTGAGGTTACACAGATTATGTTCGAATTTCCACCATTCGGTGAGCGCTTGTACAAATCGATTTATATCAAATTTTAAATCGAAGGAACTACAGCGTGCCAAAGATATCGGCCTTTATATCCATTCATACGTATATAATTGCTGGGGCAGTCTTCAAAACCCTTCTGAATTTACACACTATTTGCTGTCCATCAATGGCCGTAGAACCTTCAATTCAACGTTTTGCGATTTACTCTTGAATCCCTCTTCGATTTCTTGAAGAGTTTTATCTTTGGTTTCCGGCAGAAACGCCCACAATACAATCAAACAATACACTAGAACACATCCGTACAGAAAAAAAGTACCGTACAAACCAATATTATCGAATAGACATGGAAAAGTTTTTAAAGTGACAAAGAACAGAACAGACAGAGATGTGCTGCTCAAACCGGCGGATATACTCCGGTATTTCAATGAAAAAAGTTCACCGATTATAATGAAAGTTAATGGCAGAGCACCTAACGATATAGAGAACATCAAAATATGTAACAACAAGAAACCGAGTAATGAATTCTCGAATAAATTACACGTTTTCGCGAGATCGTATCCTGCGACGGCAAATAAAGAAGCAATGTTCATTATAGTTGTCAAAATTAAAGTGGTTCGCCTTTTAACTTTTTTCATTAGAACAACAGCTACAGCGTTCGTGATTAGTCTTTGGACCGCCAATGTGATGACCGCTATAGGCATGTTGATTTCCGATCCGGCTATTTCTTTGGTAATGAGAATTACGTAAGATGTCAGAATGTTTACACCTGAAAAGGTGCCCAAGGTATACACGTGGACGGCGATCAGGATTGGCTTATAAAAGCTTTCCTCTTTCATTGTTCGATGAAAATCTATTATAGTTCTCTTTATGTTTAATACAAAACTATTACTTTTAGCGTTAGTTTCACGCAATGTTACAACACTAGCTTCAATTATTCTCTCTATTTCTTCGTCTTCGTCGTTTCCCCTCAGCCATCGAAACACGTTCCTGGCTTCATTATACCTCCCTTTAACGGCCAGCCAACTTGGAGATTCGGGAGCGAACAAAATCAACACCAAATCAAAGGCTGTTATTGCAGTGCAAATTGTTGCCGTCTCTCTCCAACTCAGAAACGATGCTGCCGTGTGCACTAACAGCGTTCCAATCGATAGCACTAGAGAAAGGGTGGTCAAAAACGCCCCACGGTTTTTGGGACTGGTACACTCGCCTATGACGATAGGACTGAGAGAATTGACCATGCCTAACGAGACACCTTGGAAGAACCTCACGATGAGGATTGTGGTAAGATTGTTGGCGATAATTATACAGCTCCAGCACACAGTCATGATTGTGATGCTGATTATATTGGCGCGCTTTCTTCCCAAATTTCCCATGATGGTCGGAATTATCATGTTCCCCACAAGGAGACCGAGACTGGGCAGGGCAGCTGAAATACAATTATATTATTAAATCATTAATAAATAAGTTTTGTGTTAGTAGAGAACATTGTTTTGTATATTTCTTCAATTAAACGGGCACTAAGTACGGCATGACTTGTTTTTGCATACGACGATTGCGTTCCAACCCAAAAAGATAAGGAAATAAACCGACAGTTACAGGTATTGTGAGTCCATAGTTAACCACAAACCTTGGTGTTTCTACCGCGAAACTGTGGCGCATTTCGTCCAGATTACGCTGCCTAATGTTTGGTTAATTAGACTACTACATTTAGACTTCTGGCCCACGTCACGGGGTCATCAATGGTATTGATTCCCATTGTGACATCAATGGCTTTCGGTAGAAGTTTAAAATGAATTACCACAACACAAGGTACTATTTGTTCATTCTGTGTGAAATAAAACGTCGAAGCTTAGAAATCATATCTACAGAGAAATAGAGAGTAGTTAGTACAAAATTTGAATGATCGACGAATAACGACATTGAAGAATCCAGTCATCGTTCACGTCGAATCCGTCGCTTGCAACGAAGGGCTCGACGAGTAAATTAACCCACAGACACAGCCCACTGAGTTTCTCGCCGGATCTTCTCAGTGGATCGCGTTTCCGATCCGGTGGTAGATTCTGCGAAGCACGGCTCTTGCTAGAGGTCGTGTTAGCAACGTCGTTATGTTTGAGCCCCGTAAGCTCACCTACTAGTTAAGGTTATGCTGATATGGTCTCTAGACCATCAGCTTAGGAAGGATTAAAGAAAAGAAATCGACGAATAACATGTAGTTATCGGACGTGACCACGAAAACCGTAAAATACTCGAAAATTCAGAAATAATAGACGCAGGGCTAAACTGTAAAAGTAGTTTTAATTAGGAATTGCTCATATTAGCTAAGGAAAATCGAACAGCGTATGCAATGCGTAATATTATACAGCGTCACAATGGCGACATCATACAAGGCTATCACAACACAATCTTGTAGGAGCCTGCCACGAATACAAATCTCCGGGTCTTTAAGCCTTCGTCAAACAGAACGCGTACTTAGCGCCGCGTACTTAACGTCGCGCTCTTTTCATGTCACACAAATTGACTAGATGAGTCTAACACACCTTGACGCAACGCATTCGCCAAATGATAGTGCCTTTTGATAGCAGTGTGAAAATTTAAAAGTATTAAGAAATCGAGTGATTCAGATGTGGCATTGTATAAGCATGGGTATTTTCTAACTATTTATACCATTTTTTCGGGCATTATCTAGTATTTTAATACACATTCACATGGACGCTAAAACAAAATTTGTAAAAAATTACAAATGACGTCAAAGCGTCCTACACCGCGACAGAGCGCTACGTACTTATAGCGCTGGGGCTATGTTTGACGGTATGTTACCATAGTAGTACAACACATCTCGGCTTCATAGCGCGGCGTCAGCTTAGCGCTCTGACGCGCGCTAATTATGCGTTCTATTTAACGAAGCCTTTAAGTGTAAAGCGTAAACTAACCGTTATGTTACGTAGTTGTGTAACTTAGTCTTCGAAGCGAAATGATCATTTCGGAAAATTAACATTGTCTTTGTAAAGCTTAGAAAAATCGTTTTAATATTAAAATTAACTAAAAATTTGTGTTATCTTTAGTTAGTAGACCCTGATAATCCTAGAAAGAATATTATTAGGTCAAAATAATAAAATAATTGGATTGTCGTCGGTATTTTTGGCACGTGGGCAAATTTTAAATTTAATCTAACGTCTTGGAGTCCGTGAAAATTAAAGTCAAAGATTTTTTTACATAGATATCTATGTATAGGTCGAGCTAATAGAAGCATTGTCTTCTAAAACAGCTATTTCACTGACAATACATTTACGTCCACTGGCGGAGATAGGCCTCCCCCAAGCCTCTCCAGCGACCGGCTCTGCACTATCTCCATCCAACGGATTCCCGTGATCCCCAACAGATCATTAGTCCACCTTGTGGGAGGCCTACCCACACCATGTCTTCCGGTACCCGGTCGCCACTCGAGAACTATTCATCCAACGACCATCTGCTTTACGAGCAATGTGCCCTGCCCACTGCCATTTCAACCTCGCAATCTTTTAGACCAGAGCTGAGCAATCTCTTTAATCAATGGGCCAATTTAAATTTTAATTGTTTTTGGTGGATCACACATAGATTAACTCTTATAAATAATTTACGAAACTTTATTTCTTTATTAAAAACAAACAAGGAATGAACAGAAAAACGGATTGATAAGAGAAAGTCGATAAAATAAATTCAATTTTAGAAATATTTGGCGGCCCGAAAACGGCCCGCTGGCCTCGTGTCGCTCATCCTTGCTTTAGACTTTAACGATTGCCATTACCATTTACATTGAATACAAATATTTACACAGCGTTAACAAGCTAAACGTACAAAATGCATATTTGTATGTGTGTGTTTATCGTGATCTATGCTTACATCTAATTAAAACTACCTTTGCATTAACATCTCTCATTCATAATTACTAGACGATGACTGAGCTTTGCTCGGTTTTTTTTTTTGTTTGTTAAGTAATATAAATAAACAATTCATTTTCTTGGTCTGACCTTAAACCAAACGCTCATTGGCTTCGGGTGGCTTAACAACGCCACCTGCTGAAATAGCTTTAGTGTTATTGTGTCTATAAAGCAGTTAGTTGCTCTCAAAAAATAGTCTTATTATTCGCCAATAGATGTCGGAAAGAGTCATAAAGTTGATTATCGTTAAAGTTGATTATTGAAAACACGAATAAAAAACATTTTCTGAAAATAAATCGTAGCTAGATCGATTTATCGCCCCCGAAATCCCCTGTATACAAAATTTTATGAAAATCGTTGGAACCGTTTCCGGGATTCAGATTATATATATATACAAGAATTGCTCGTTTAAAGGTATAAGATTGTCAACATTTTTATTGAAAATCAGACGGTATTTCAACATTCAAATGTCGACGAACAATATATTTATTGTCGTGACGTGAGACTGAAAAATTCGAAACGTCTGAAATAATAAACGCGAGTTTATACCGTAATACCAGTTTTAATTATGTCTGCTTTTCCCCTACCTAATCACCGGTAGCTTGGAGAAGCCATTCCAGGTTCACCGGGCTATAGGTCATTTGTTCATAGGTTCAGCCCAAGAGAGTGTGCGAACACTTTCCTTTGCAACAGTGGTGTCTGCGATGCGCAGAAGCGATAAATAAAACTATGTATATTGCTTATCCAAGTCGACTTGAAACTTAATGCAGACCTCATACTTCTGGAAACCTACCAAAGGTTTTTATCATAGTTTCCCCGTATTTATTTATCTACATACCGTCTGCATGAATGGCGCGTGAATCATACCAACAAACTCGATGTATTTCGTAAAAAATTTAGAAACAATTGCAGAGTAACGTGGCCGAATTAAACTGGTTAATGTGTTTTATTGTTGGTAGAACATTTAAACATGTGCGGTGGACCGACCAAATTAAAACTGCAGTGGGAGGTCCCCTAAATGAGTGCAGTAGAATGGCATCGAGCAGGGAGAGATGGCGCGACATCGTGAGACGCATCAAGTCTGCCCCTTCCAACACTACATGACGATCACGACCACTCTGTCAAGAGTGACACGACTTAGAAGAAGAAGAAAGAACATTTAAATTCTTAAGATTTCCTACCACACTTAACTACGTAACATTATTCGGATTCCATTGATGTACCAACTGTTTTAAAGTTACACAACTATCTACATTATAAATCCCTAGTATTTAGCGAGTTATCACCACGACTCTATCATCGTAACCCCAGTTTTTAATCTACCCTCAACAATAATAGAAGGACCTCTTTATATGTCGTCCGTCTGGTGTAGTGGTAAGTGACATGGTCACTACACTAGGGGGTCGCGGGTTCGAATCCCGCCAAGGGAAGATATTTGTATGATAAATATAAATGTCTTTTCCGGGGTTATGGATGTATATTAAATATATGTATGTGTATAATAAAAATCTTACATTTATTTCCGTTATCTGGTACCTGTAACACAAGTTCTTAACGAACTTATCACGGGACCAGTTAACGTGGCGTGATTGTCAGTAAAATATTTATTTATTTATTTATATTTATATTTATATGTGAAGCAAGTGTTAATAATTCGTTAAACAATGGCGTCTCAAAGACATATCAATTTTCACTCTGTAGGTTTATCAATGGCAATGTAGCTACTATTACTTTATGCAGACTAAATGTAAGGCAATACTGAAGTTTGTTAATGCATATCTTCCTTGGCGTTTCACAGGTACTGACGACCTCATAATGAAGGTTAACTACAATTTAACTGCATTCTCAAAGATCTAGAACGTGCTATCTATTTTGATGTATTCGCCATTTAGTTTTTTCAATTTTGCTCTTCAACGTATTGATATATTCAATGAATAGTGCTAGCATTTAATGTGATTTAAAAAAATGGAAATCGTCGTAAGAAAAAACTTGTGATCGATAAGTCTCAATAGTGATGTATAAAGATAGTCCTAACCATCAAACCGTCTGTCTCATTTAGAGTAATCAAGTAAATCTCTTTATGTTTTTTTTTTATTGCTTAGATGGATGGACGAGCTCACAGCCCACCTGGTGTTAAGTGGTTACTGGAGCCCATAGATATCCACAATGTAAATGCGCCACCCACCTTGAAATATAAGTTCTAAGGTCTCAAGTATAGTTACAACGGCTGCCCCCACCCTTCAAACCGAAACGCATTACTGCTTCACGACAGAAATAGGCAGGGCGGTGGTGCCTACCCGCGCGGACTCACAAGAGGTCCTACCACCAGTAATTAGGCAAATTATAATGTTGCGGGTTTGATTTTTATTACACGATGTTATTCCTTCACCGTAGAAATCAATCGTGAACATTTATTGAGTACGTATTTCATTACAAATTTTTTTAATTTACGTGTTTACCTATCCATGACTCGCCGTCTTGATCAATGGTCACCGACGAAGCAGGGTCTTGCAGCTGAGGAAGTAACAGTCCAGTGAATCCGAAGACCATCCCGTACTGCGATAGGTTTATTGATACGCCGATCACGACAAAACACTGAAAATTTTAATTAAAACTTATATTGATCTTGTTTTGCAAACCTTCCCCAAAATCATAGACAGATGGTAGAGCTGTTTTTTTTTTATTGTTTAGATGGGTGGACGAGCTCACAGCCCACCTGGTGTTAAGTGGTGACTGGAGCCCATAGACATCCACAACGTAAATGCGCCACTCACCTTGAGATATAAGTTCTCAGGTCACACTATAGTTACAACGGCTGCCCCATCCTTCAAACCGAAACGCATTACTGCTTCACGGCAGAAATAGGCGGGGCGGTAGTACCTACCCGTGCGGACTTACAACAGGTCCTACCACCAGGTACATACGATTTACATACGATTTAATACAAATAGATACTAAAAATATGCAAGTAAATACAAAATAAGTAATCAGTTATACAGTTATATCGTAGGAGCCATATTATTGTGCAAGGTAGCGCGATTTTACTCTGAACTTGAAAATTTTCGGCGAGGACGATTGTTTGATGCATAACGATACGAACATACGACCCGGACTCTTAGAGCCCGTTCACACATGATCTCTATTTTACTGGTCCGTTTTGTCGAATACGCTTTTTTTCATCGATGGAGCATGGAGTTATATGAGCGACTTCACATATGGTACCGTATTCAGTATACAGTAAAAAAAAACGGTCCGGCATATTATGAAATTCCGTTTTGTCATCGAATGCTGCATGAATTTGCTTGTGAACATCGTATCCAGTAATGAAGAATACGTTGAACGTTATACGGTGCCTGTGTGTGAAGCATAATTATTTGTCGTATCCGTCAAAACGGGTAGCGTATACACGGAGACTATTTGTGAACGTAGCCTAATGGTGAGCGGCTACCGTTGCTCATTGACGTCAGCAATGCCTTCGCAGTCCCTCGTTGTAGTGAACGCGCGAACCTGTGACTTCAATGGATTGAATTCAAATAAATTCAGTTCATCCCACTTGGAGACCCGCCCCAGAGTATGCTCCACTTCGAACAAAAGTTTTTACCGTATGTCCTGAACGACACTCCGATAGAGACTCTGATGGCCGATATTCGCATCCCCCGTGCTGTAAATAGGACAGCAATGCATGCCATTGTTGAATAATTTCTAACATTTTTTGCACGCAATCAACCAAACCTATTATAATATTTAACTAATCAATCTAAATACTGAGAAATCTGCGGTCTCAAGGTAAAATGGCGGAGGCTGTCAATCTGGAATCAGATTGCAGAATCACACAATTTTTTATTTAAAAAGAACTTGGACAAATTATTAACCTTAAGATGTTATTATACAGTTAACGATTTTTTAAATGATAAATCATTATGTTAATTTTAAATTCGCTTCTTTCTGTTCTTTGTTTTCGTTTTATGACATAAATAACTAATTCTTATTCAATTAATTTGTTTAATAGTTTGATATTTTCATTAATTAATATATTTACTGACTGCATTTAAGTCGTCGTGGCCTAAAGGATAAGACGTCCGGTGCATTCGTATGTAGCGATGCACCGGTATTCGAATCCCGCAGGCGGGTACCAATTTTTCTAATGAAATACGTACTCAACAAATGTTCACGATTGACTTCCACGGTAAAGGAATAACATCGTGTAATAAAAACCAAACCCGCAAAATTATAATTTGCGTAATCACTGGTGGTGGGACCTCTTGTGAGTCCGCACGGGTAGGTACCACCACCCCGCCTATTTCCGCCGTGAAGCAGTAATGCGTTTCGGTTCGAAGGGTGGGGTAGCCGTTGTAACTATACTGAGACCTTAGAACTTATATCTCGAGGTGGGTGGCGCATTTACGTTGTAGATGTCTATGGGCTCCAATAACCACTTAACACCAGGTGGGCTGTGAGCTCGTCCATCCATCTAAGCAATAAAAATAAATAAAAAAATACAAATAATTTTGAATAATATTTGCACGCCGACCTGATAGAAACACGCTGTTCTATAAAATAACTATCAACAACTTTGCAAACCGTGTTTCAGTTAATAAAGTTTGATTTGATTTGAAATATTCACTAGTGGTAAGAGGTGCTTTGTGATCGGCCTAGGTCGGTTGTCCCAGTTGGGAGGGTCAACAGTTGTTTAATAAAATCGATGGATCTTAAAGACCCTGGTGGAACTACCGTTGCGTTGCCTATAGGTTCAGGAAGCAACTTTGTGCCAGGCGAGCCATATGGCGGACCATTGCTACTGAGCTACCTTAAGGTGGTGAGGTAAATGAACTTAAACCAATTTGTTCAAGACATTTTATTTTATCTTCCTTCTCTTTCTTTCCTATTACCCTCTGCTGGGGTGTAGGGCTCGGATCAAATCCTTCCATTTACATCGGTTTTGGGCAGTCTGTTCTAGCTCCTCCCAAGTCATACCCAAGACGCCTAACTCCTGTTTCACCAAGCGACGCCAAGTTATCCTGGGCCAGACACTTTCCAAGTCAGTGCTCTCTTGGATAGGTGGGTATCGGGCTTTCTCAATATGTGACCAATCCAATGCCACTTCCGCGTAAGGATCTTCTTCTCCATTGGTCTCTTGGTGATATTGCTTTATATTTTTATTTTTTATTTTTATTGCTTAGATGGGTGGACGAGCTCACAGCCCACCTGATGTTAAGTGGTTACTGGAGCCCATAGACATCTACAACGTAAATGCGCCACCCACCTTGAGATATAAGTTCTAAGGTCTCAAGTATAGTTACAACGGCTGCCCCACCCTTCAAACCGAAACGCATTACTGCTTCACGGCAGAAATGGCAGGGCGGTGGTACCTACACGCGCGGACTCACAAGAGGTCCTACCACCAGTAGCTATATATGGCTAATTTAATGTTTAATTTTTTTTTCTTTGTCGTATCACTCTTGTCCGAGTGGTCGTGTTCGTCATTCAGTATCATTGCTGTGGGCAGATGGTATGCGCCTCACAAGCAATCGCCACTTCTCCCGGCTCGTGGTGAGCCTGGTACATGCACGTAAACAACCGCCAACTATCGACCTGACTTGGTCCGTCCATCACATGGGCAACCTTCCACGAGGTCTAGGGCCTTCTACTTTGCCCTGAACGACAAGGCACTCTGTGGAGTAATTTCCTTATTTCATTTCAATATATACAGTGTCATTATTATCTCGTCATTTCATACACAAGAATAAGGGCATTCGAATTCGGAAGGCCACATACCTGTCTTCATCAAGGATTAAGTATTTAGTGACAGACTAACAGCGTTATTTGTTTTCCGACAACATTGCATTTTGAAATATTATAAAAACCAATCTATAATAATTATAATTTATAGGTTTAACAAAAAAACATTATTGCATGATTTGATCCCGCCTATTTCACTCGTCGTTTCAATATTGAATTAAAATTGTTATTGTGAGCTCCTATGAGCTATTATAATTACTAAATACATTAGTCTAGTATATTTATATAATATATATTGTGACAATGTTTATAATTACAAGTTTCCGAAACCCGTCTAACAAGAAAGAATAAGTTACGAAAATCGAATCCAATTTTAGCCGACACCAAAAAACGAGAAGGCTCTCAATTCGTCTGTCTGTATTTTTTATGTGCTCAGAACTTTTTTGTGGGTATAACAATTTTACAAAGACATTGCTGCTTATATCTTTTAATTAAACGGTAGTTTTTGAGTTATCCTTTAATAATATATGTTTATTTGACTTCGAATACATTAATGATGTTCTAATTTTGCGATTAAGTCGATTTTCTTTTTAGTTAAAAATTTGTACATTTTATTTGCAAAATTGGTACCTGTCCCGGAATGCACTACATTATAATCGCAATGAAAACCCACCGTGCCTGTTATTACTAGACAGAATGACGTAGGTAAGCAAGGCAGACGACTGCATGTGTGATGATTTTTTTTATTTTTTCCTTTAAGATTTTTATTTTTTTTCATACTGTGTGCAAACCAAATCTATGTATCGAATAAGTATTTAATTTTTATGTTTTTTTTTTGTTTATATTGATATAGGATAAACAATCTATCTATAAACGATCTAAGCAATCTATTTATGTTTTCGTTCTGGGTGTGATGCTTTGCGAAACACAGATATTTCAAATTAGAACTTCACATTTCTAAACTTAATAAAAGGTCCTATAGAATAATTGAATTACAAAGTTGGTACGAAATAGATGAAGGTTTTATATGGTTGTATTTACATTTAAATTATATTAATGGACATCGATCAGATTTGGTAATTCACGAAAATATTGATTTCAATATACCTACAGATTATTAAACAAATACAGAAAATACTAACCTGTCTACAAAAAGGGCTGAATCCGTAGCACGCCATTGTATAAATTTATTAAAAAAAAGTGAAATAAACTAAATTTATTTAACGTAAAAAGACACGACATTATCCATGGCTGTTTAAATGAGAACTAAGCCGCAAGTGTTTTCTTAACCTTGTCTTCAAGTTATTTGTTATGCATTATTCGAATATATGAATTATATTAAATAAAATTATGAAATTCGACATTAATCTTTTTTCTATTCCCACATTTACAAATACAATAGTAAAATAATACCTTAAAATAAATTTTTATCTAATTCTGCAGCAATTTATTTTATTCTCAAGCTGAAAATTAACGCAACCGGTATTTTATCAAGGTTTCAATGTTTTAATATTCAAATATAATGCATAAGGTTCCGTAATCGAGGAACTGTAACATTTTACGAAAACTCAAATTCATTATAAGCGATTTTACTATTTCGACTTTCAAGCTTATTTATGTCGGGCCTTTACTGATTTTGATCTTCGTGATCGTACGTCAAGGTACGATGCAAGGTCGAAACTATGTATGCAATTTCTTAAGCAATACATTGTGGAATTTATTCTAACAAGGACTACCAATATGTTTAAAGCCTATTCAGATTTTTTCGTTCAATTGACTCACGGAGCAAACGTGCTCACTCAAAATAATCTTCATTGATTTTACAGTACAATCTAATGTACGTTGTGACCAGAAATCGAATTAAACACCGACTTTCTACTTGAGGAAATTCACGACTGTCCGTCTTATAAGGTGTTTTAGAAACTCCAAAGCATTATGAGCATACTACACTCTCTAACAAAGAACTTAAAGTATATATACTCTAGTGGATTAAGATCAGGACTTGATGACGGCAATTCTTCAGTCCTCACGAAGTCAGAAACATGATTTTCTTAAATTGCTTTTAATAGAAAAACTATGTGAAATCCCGTTGTTTTAGGTACTAAGTTTGTTTTTACCACCCTTATCGTATTGATACTAAGTATCTACAGTCGGCATCAGTGCGCCATTTCGAGAAAGCGGCACGACACGAGAACCCTCTCATCGTGGCCGCCGGTAACTACATTCCCGATCCTGCGGACCGAATGGAAAGCAGTTGACGTCGCCCAAAACACGTCATTTCGGATCCTCCCGATCCACTAACGGTGCTTTTAGGTACCTCAAGCACCGGTCATCGGTTCAATCGAACCTGTCGCTTGCGACGAAGGGCTCGACGAATAAATTAACCCACAGCCACAGCCCACTGAGTTTCTTGCCGGCTCGTCTCGGTTGGTCGCGATACCAATCCGGTGGTAGATTCTGCGAAGTACTGCCATTGCTAAAGCTAGTGTAAGCAAATGCGCAAGGTTGAGTCGTATGAGCTCGCCATGTTAGAAGAACCTAGTATAACCCCTCGAGGCTACTAGGATAGGTAGGAGTATAATCATTTTACATTATTTCCTTTTAAGTGCCGAGAAGGACATTAACATCAGAGAAAAAGAGCAACATAGACCCTTATCAAGATAAACCCCGTTTTACTCGATGTTTTGTGCAACACATTCTTCTTGTCTTCTCAGTGGGTCGCGTTTCCGATCCGGTGGTTGCGAAGCACTGGTCTTGTTAGGACCAGTGTTAGCAACACCTCCGGCTTAAGCCCAAAGAGCTCACCTACACACTAGGGTAACGCTGATATAGCCTCTCAAGGCTATCAGCATAAGTAGAAAAAAAAAGCGCAAGACAAAGAAAAGAGTTCACATAAAGTTACTTATTCAACAGAACTTGACTGCATTAAAGACGGTATTAAACATTGTCTTTGATAGAATTATTTGGTGTTTTCTTTCTAATATAATCTATCAGCCCACAGACGTCCACTGTTGCATATAGATCTCACTCAAGCCTCGCCACAACGTGGTCCTGCGCTGCTTACATCCAGCGGATCCCTGTGAACCTCAATGTCGTCAATCCACCTTGCATTTTATTTAATATCTCCACAATTGTGCCAATAACACGTTAGCGATATCAAAATATTTACGAAATAATAAAAGACTAAGATTTCGTTTTAAGAAATAAAGTTTATTATAAATGTTAGTTAATATGAAACGAAAGGTTTTTCGAACTTATTTATGTATGTCAACTTCTTTAGCACAATCTGCAGTCTAAGCATTCTGACGGATTTCAACATAAATATGAGGCATCATTAGATCTTCCTCTCGGAAAGCGACGTCGTTCCTAACAATTAACTAATCCAAAAAAATATTAGACAACAAATTATGAAAGATTGAATTTACGCTCAAGAAATTTGTCTAAACTTATTTTGCATAGGTTCTGTAAGATCTTCGCGCCTGAATTGCAATTGCCCATAGGTACACCTTAAAACGACCACGTCATCTGACTACCTGAACCGGAGCCGCGTCCCTTTATTGATATAGAATTGCGCGGCATTGTCACATTCCTTTGACGTAATGTCAGTTCGCACGTTTGTAACGCACTTGTAACATAGACCTATATAGTAATGAAACAGATACGTACATAACTGATGTTCTGTAACTGATGTTCACCAATGACTTCCACGATGAAGGATTAGCATCGTGTAGTAAAAATCAAACTAACTCAAATTAAATTTGGCTTACGAATGGTCTTAGAGTAACCTATGAGCCTGTATGTGTATGGAGTCCGGTAACCTCTTAACACCAGATGGATCGTGAGCTCGTTTACCCGTCAAAGCTAAAAATATCTCATCATTTTACTGGGATATAGTTTCACCTCACTGGCAACAACGGCATTACAAGATGCGGATTGCCATACCGAAAGATAAAGAACAGGGCAATGGTCCATAATAATACAAATGAAACTGCAGTATGGTTTGTGTGCATTTATTTGTATGGTTGACGAATTAAACATTTGTATACATAGCCATCTTTAATACAACTGCAAAAAATAATAATAAGAAAAGTATTAGGATTGCGAAGCCTGCTTCCGGTATCGATTCGACCCGGCTCAGTGCGATTAATATTACATTCGACTAATTTACAAATCGATTTACTAATCGATAAACAATAAATTTCTATAGCAAATTTTATAAAACAAAATTAGATCTAAAATAGTACACATTAATAAAACACGATACAAAAACTATACGAATAGATTTCTCATCTTATAAGATAATTTATACTTGATTGAACCTAGGAAAAAAAGCTATTAAGCAGTCATTACCGAGCCGAATCGAAAGACAAACAGACGCACAAACTCACAGGCACACGTATCGATCTACTTAAACTATCAGTTTCTTGCCCAAGAAAAAAAAACTTTTTTCATTACATTAAAAACTTTCGCTGACTTTTAAAAAAATATTTACAAAACTCTTCAAACTCTGCAAACACGCTTGGTTAGTATCAATTCAAAAATATCGATTTTACTAAACACAATCTCCCGCATCCAGATCGTGAAATCCAAATGATACGTTCCAAATTTCGACTATACACAATAGAAAATTTTAATTACTTTAACCATAGAGTTAGACCGAATCGTGTCGAATCACTATCGATTCACCAACCTAGTCCTCTTCCATCGCCAATAATCAAAATTTTAAAATTACCTATCCGAATAATTGGTAAATACGTTCTTTATAACGATTCCATACATATTTGAGACCCATATGTAAGCATAACTTAACATTACCGTCTTCGAAATATCTAAACGTTTTATCGATATAAAGATCCGAATTATTCATATCTCGATAATGTATCGATAAAAAGTCGATATTCGCTCTAGACAGTCACACGATTTAAATCTGTCGACTTTATTTAAGCATTAGGTACGTTCTCAATCACGATATGGCCTAATATAAACACTATTATTTAACTGGTTTTTACCGGTATATTGTCGGTATAGTAATAGAGTTGTTGTGATAATAACCAGAAGGAGGGTAGATTTGACTGCAATTTTTTTTTATTGCCCTTGTAGGCAGACGAGCATACGGCCTACCTGATGGTGAGTGGTTACCGTCGCCCATGGATTTCAGCAATGCCAAGGGCAGAGCCAAGCCGCTGCCTACCGCAATTCTTAACCTCTAACCCGCAATTTTCAGTCCATTCGTCGCCATACGGAAATATCCAGAACCATCCAGAACCTCTTAAATAATCGCGTTTATAAAGTAAAAAGCCTGGACTTGTAAAACAATTCGTAACAACTTCTTGCCCTGTCGTATTTCTTACACTGAAATCAGTATAGTTAATTTGTCAAACATTTCATTCAAGTTCACGTTTGTCACAAATTTTCAATAGTCAACCAGGGATAATGCAAACAGCTACTGTATTTTCAAACTACAAAAACTTCGTAGTTTAGGGAAAATATTTTACTTTTTAACACACAAATCGAACCTCACCTATTGAAAACGGCTGGATTCGATGAAAAATAAACTACCTGTAATTATTTAATTTGATATATCACTAACACCGAAACATTTTCATAGTTTTGTTTTTTATTATTATTTAATTAACACATATATTTGTCTAAACACATTATTGACAACATCGATAAAAAACTCGAACATTCTATTAATGAAACAGTTCAGTGTATTGTTCTTTATTACATTTGATCTATAATAATTGATACTTTAAATTTTTTTATTAAATTCTCATTATTTTACAAGTTTACGATTAGGTATTATATTACAGGATCTAAACAGATTCGAAGGTTTCGACAATTTAAATTAAAAATTAATTAGGAAACAGTCTCTGTGAATTTCAAGCTGTATCGAATAGTCAGATTGAAGTTACAAAACCAGTGTTTTATTAAAAACCTTTATAATTTGGCTTAAAAACATATTTTATTAGATACAGTTTGTTTTTCGAAGATCAAACATCATAATGAGTGAATTCTCAAAACTTGTATTTATGTACATTATCGAAGAAGACATACGATCTGAATTATCTAAGACCCTGTATCTGTGGTCTCTTCACGAACAAACCAAATTAGAGATTTAGACTAAGAGCAAACACATTGTCTGTTGATGATGCATTCTTACAAGTGACAATTTCACTGCTCGACCAAAACTTGCATGGGATATTTTATATGGACCGATCGTTAGATACCATAGTAGTCATAAAATC